ACACACACACACACACACAAGTTCAGCTAAACAACAATACGCTTACAACAAGCTAACATTAGTTACCATTAGATTACTGGTTTCTGTCATCTGTACTTTTCCTTTAAGTTTGATGTTCGTCCATTATTGTTGTGTCGCAAACAAAGCAAAATAAGATTTGTGMGTCTTTAATATTATGATCTTGCCCACATCAAGGCGGCACTCTGCTCARTGCAAACACAACAGGGATGGGGTAGAGCAAGGCTAGAGCCAGGGTGAGCCGAGGCTGGCCTTACAATGGAAAAATGCCTCTAAAGTTTTCATTTTAAGAAGGTAAAATAGTAGGATATGAATTGAAACCCACCTTTTCCAWAATGTGGAGTGGCGGTTTATTTGTAGCAATGCAATATGCCACATGTGCGCTTGAYAATRAGAGTGTGTAGCACATAAAWAAATGTCATCACGTGGCACTGATTGCAAAGTKGCAAATATTGATTAGTGACTGATATTCTGACGATTAAATGCACTAGATTTGATTTTGCCCAATGCTACTTTCTAGGCTACTCAGCTCTTTCACARCTACATCCCATCTGCTCATCAGCTCACCTGCTTTTCATTCCAGTAATTATCCCTCTCTGTTTAAACCGTTCTGTTTGTCGAGATCATTGTTAGAGTCTAATGTTTGCCAGCTCCATGTGCTCTGTTCCCTTTGGGTGTTCAGGTGTTCCCCTGTGGCCCTCCTCTTAATTTACTCGAGTTTATGTCTCCAAATCCTTGTGTGCCCCTGTGGAATTTCATTTGTAATTGTGTTTGCTRTATCCTCAGCTGTTTGTTCTGCATTTTGGGTACCCTGCTCAATTTATGACCAGAAATCTWGAACAAGAAAAACAAATTCATATCATCATGCAATGGTTATCATTAGACCTTATCTGTGGAACATATTCAATAACACCAATWATTTCTACTAAAGTGGGGCGCAACAATGAACTGAAATYKTAGCTCTCTAACWCAGTCTGGATTGCTTAGATCACATTATGTCACTTTAAGAAATTATTGTAATTTATTTGATCAGCGCACACATGTATAGACTCAAAGCTGAAATTAAATAAAGTGTAGAAATGTAACTACCCTAATTAACAGAAATGAGGCGCTTTAGTCACACGACTCATAGGATGTCCACTTCAAAAAACGAGTGAACTTCACACAATCTGCCACCAATACAATTAAAAGAAAATGCACAARGTAGACCACAGGTTGGTTAATTAATCCACTCCTAGCAAATACAGAATCATTTTATAATAAATTTGAAAGTAGAGATTGTGGATTTTATTAGATTACAATGGTGCTTTAAGGAGTGAGCCTCTGCAGCACCACTCAGCTCAGCTCAAGGCAAAAGGCTCAAGGCTACACTGAATGCCAYTGGCAGTGTTTGTTGGAAGCATTGGGTAATGCAGGTTTTATAATAAGCAGAGATTTGATTGAATAAACTACTCAGCTTTTGAATCTACTGCATTGACCTTAATACTTATTTTTTAAACAGTCTTTGATGAGTTAGTGTTTAAAAGTAAGCAATAGCTTAACAGCCACTTAAATGTTTACAGACTTCATGGATAAGAGAATAATAMTTATAATTTAATATATTTTTTACATGGTTATGTAAGACTTTTCATTGATAAATGTGAAAAAAATTATGTTTTAAAATAATTGTAATAAGAAACTTCCTGTTTTTGTAGGCAGAAACAAATCTACATCTTTATCATCCAACAGGTCCTCCTTCTGCTCCAGAAAACCCCATCTCAACCGTGAACGAGACCTGCGTCACCTTAGAGTGGTCTCCGCCCAGAGACACAGGAGGCAGGGGGGACATCGCCTACAGCCTCCACTGCAGGAAGTGCTCCGGTGATGGCAAGAAGTGCACTCCCTGTGGCGGCGGCGTCCACTTTGTGCCGAGACAATTCGGTCTGTCGTCAGCCTCTGTGTTGATCACGGACTTACAGCCGGATTCCAACTACAGCTTTACTATTGAGAGCCAGAACGGAGTGTCAGACTTGAGTCCGACTCCCAGAGGAGCTGTGGTGATAAATGTTACGACGTCACAAACAGGTGCGAATGGACGCGTCRCTTTTACCCACCATACTTTAAGGGAAATATTACTGTAAGAAAGGACAAAATATGTTTTGAAACAGACAGCTCTTTCAGTGAACGTTCAGGAGATTTGTTCTTTTTTTATTACCTGAATCAACTTTTTAACACTGACAGTAAGTTTCTAGGTGGAGAACWAGTTTGACAGCATGAACTGTTTTTTTAAATGGAAAAAAGATAGCTTTTCAAAAACAGTCAAAGTGTAGTATCAAGATGTTGCACGAGGACTTCGAATTTGCTGCTATGACAAATTCTAGCAAAACCACAAAGTGACACGTCTACATTTCTGCTTGCAAGTGTGTCTTCACCGTCACCGTGTGGGACTGTGGGGAATTTGTGCAGGAGAGGAGTGCATGACAGGGTGGTGATGACTAATAGGCCTCATACGACGGATGGGTGTGCAAAATCTGGTGGGGTGGTGGGGGTGGCGTGAAAGGGGTGTAGGAGGTTTCTCAACCTCATTAGGATCTASACACAGACACAMAGACACACATGCATGCACAAACATTTCTGCACACAGGCATTAACCCATCATGCCACAAGAACAGGTGTCCCACTGTGAAAAAAATAGTGTCTTTGTGAGCTGATAACGCATCAGATCACACACTCTGATGACTGTTAACACACGTGTACACACTTGTAACACTCTGTAAGCCGTCTCATTAGCAGTATTACATGACGCAATGCAATATGGGTTCCTGCWTAAAAAAWAWTMATATTGCTTCTCTAACCACTTTTCYTACACTTTCTGGTTTTATTTATTCTGTTATTGTTTGAACCAGACTATCTCCTTGTTATTGTTTATTTATTTATTTTTTTTAGTGAGTGTAGTGTTGAAGGAAAGACGGAGCAAGGACAGCGTGACTTTGGCCTGGCAGGGTCCAGAGAGACCCAATGGAGTGATCGTGGAATATGAGGTCATCTACTATGAGAAGGTGAGTCAGATGAATGCAAACGCAAGATTTTAAAGAGCCACTCTGATCATTTTATAGCTTTCAGCAAAAAGCCTAAAATGGAATCAGGCTTTTTTTGTTTTACAAAGTAGGATAAAGGATTTTTTTCTCAACTACATAGCTGTCTGCCATCAACAAGATCTGTTTCATGAAAAATTGCCACATTTGTTACTGGGATCTTTTTAAAGACAGAGAAAAAAATAAACATCTCTTTAAATGGGTCACAGGTTTAGGTACACTGATTCTTAGGTGTTAAACGGGTACATTTGTTACTGGGATCTTTTTAACGAAAGAGAAAAAAATAAATATCTCTTTAAATGGGTCACAGTTTTAGGTACACTGATTCTTAGGTGTTAAACGGGTACACAAATGAAATATAAATGTTGAAATAAAAAAAAATTAAATCACAGTACATACCTCACAACTTATATTTAAATCGCAAAAAAATCCTGGTCTGGTCCTGATTAGTATTCAGTTGGTTGACATTGAAAGGTAAAGCCAACACATGGTATTTGTGCATTTATTTTATCAAAACTAGCATGTACGAACACTTTTGCCTGTTAAGCAATAAAGCCTTCACCTTTTCTAAAAACCCAGTTACCAGCTTTAAATTATGCACTGACAGTTATRACCACACACCAGCTACACATCAAATTTGTTTTATGAACTAATTTGTTGGAATTCTTCATACTGAAAAGAAATGATGGCATTTGTAGTGTCATATTTACAGTCAGGGCATCTAATTGTGTTATGAACTGGGGCATCAAAAAGGTGAAGATTCAAATTTAATCACTTGTTACAACTTCTCTGCAGACTGTTTTKTATTAGAGTCTGTCATACTGCGTAACTGAGATAGGTGTGGATTACTTCTGCTGCTCTTCAGCTTTTAAACAATTTAAAGATACTTTTAACCTACTTGGCTTTTATGTCAGTCTCTACAAATGTGACGGTCACTTACCTCATGCCTAATCCTGGGATTAGAATGACCTCACTGATGCATTTTATTGTTGTTTTATTATTTGATCATTGTGTTTTATATTGTGTGGATTCACTCTYAGTGACCTTGAGTGTCCTTAGAAGGCACCTGTAAATAAAACTACATTATAGGTGTGTAGCATGCTTGGATGTGAGTTTGAGCAATACATCATTCCTTATCCATCCATCCATCCATCCATCCATCCATCCATCCATCCATCCATCCATCCATCCATCCATCCATCCATCCATCTTGGCCTAAATGTTTATACAGACCATAGATTTCCATACAAAACAGTATGAATGGACTTGAATTCCAGCAGCTCAGGTTTAGCACTGTAAAACACCTTATCCCCACTGCTAAATGCTGCATTAATAGCAAATTTGGACTGAACCACCTCAAGGAGACAGCTGATTTAGAGCTGGGGGGCACTGTGGCTCAGTTGGTAGGGCTGTTGCCTCACAAAGAGAAGGTTGTTGGATCAGATACCGAACGGGGGCCTTTCTGGGTAAAGTGTGCACGTTCTCTCCATGCTCTGGTTTCCTCTAAAGACATGAAAGTTAGACTGAATATCAACTCTAAATTGTCCCTAGATATGAGTGAGAGAGTGAATGGTTGTCTTTATGTGAGCCCTGTGATGGACTTTTGACCTGTCCAGGGTTTACACCCCCCACACAGTGAATTCTGGACATGGGCACCATTGACCACTTAGACCCTAAAACGAAGAAGGATGGATGGATGGATGGATGGATGGATGGATGGATGGATGGATGGATGGATGGATGGATGGATGGATGGATGATTTGGAGCCATCAATCAGTTTGTATCAGGAGTTCAAGTATCTGGTTGTTTTGTTCACTAGTGGTGGTAGGGTGGTGGAAAACGCTTTAATGGATAGAGAACTTATTCTTATTAAGGAGGACATTGGTTTGGTCTGACATGGTAAAGAAATATTTGATACAAAAAMCAAAKCTCTCAATTTACTGATTTGTCTATGTTCCAACCCTCATAGTCACAAAGCTTGGATCATGATCACAAGATAGAAATCTAAAAGAAAAAGCCAAACTGAGCTTCCTCAGTAGGGTGGTTGGCCTTGAGCTGCTGCTCTTTTGCATTGAAAGGAGTCTGTTGAGGTGGTTCGGGCATCTGATTAGGATGTCCCACTGGACAGGGACCCCGGGGAAGACGTAGAACTTGCTGGAGGGGTTATATATCCTTTTTGGCTTGGGACCACTTTTAGGTTCCCCAGGTGGAATTGGAGAGGGATGTCTGGGTTTCTCTCCTGGACCTGTTGCCTGTTTGACCCCACACAGATAAATAGAGGATGGAGATGAGGGTCATTTAGAACAAAACCAAAAATGTGCGCATTTGCATGAGAGCAATGCAATTCTTTTTCATGTTTCTCATAATGAAATACTTTGATATAAGTACTTTTCTTTGATGCACACCGCAGAATCACTGAAGTACCACTTTCACAGATTTAACGCAATTTGTTTCTTCTTTGTCTCTCTCTCTCTCTCTCTCTTCCTTGTGCTTTACGTACTCACCGGCAGGATATGGGTTTATCCTGAGGGCATGTCTCTAATGACTTGTTCATCACAAACAAGCCACTATCTCTCTCTTTTCATAGCCTTATTCCTCATGTCTCCTCTGCTGCTCGCATCAAGCTAATTAAGCACACATCTGTCGAACAAGCCGTGTAAAACACAGCCAAGGTGATGAAATTAAACCTGTGTGTACGTGTGTGTGCGTGTGTGTGTGTGTGTTGGTACATCTTAGCAGTAAAATAGTGTTAATCTGTTTTGTAGAGTGTCTTCCATTAGGTAAGTATCACCTTCTCTGCGGGGAACCAGCTTACCAACAGACAGACTGTGTATTCATCCGCCAACACACACACACACACACACACACACACACACACACACACACACACACACA